CTACTTTACTGGAATGAGTTCAAAACTGAGCAGCAGCATTCTGGATAATTTGAAGCCTGTGAATGTTTCCTCACTGATATCACAGCAAACTGTATGATATATAATAGTCAACATTTAGGGTTGATGATGGCATGACTGAGTATTTCAAAGTCTGAAAAAGACAGGAAGTATCTGACCTCAGAGATCAGCATGAGCTGAATGAAATACAACTGTAAAAACTTTGTCACCTGAGCATTGAAGAAGAGACAAGAATTGAAGACACCTTTGAGATTTCAGGCATTTTGTTTAACATCCGAGGACAATGAACCCAACATATACACAAAAAGGATCTGCATTGTTCCATCAGCTAGAAGGAGAGATTCTGATCATTTCTGTTTGGAGTTGGTGAGACTGAAGAAATTATTGGACATTCTGAGCTTGCAGTCAGCCAGGTGAGACAATTTGGAGATCACATCATTCCTGCTGGGTTCAAAGGGAACATACAGCGTGTGTGTCATGGGCGCAATGGTGATTGTGGATATTATTTATATTTATTTAGGATTAGTCCCAATGGGAGCCGATAAATGGAAAACAATAAATGACCCAGAATGGAACCCTGTGGAACTCCGCAGGTGAGGAAGACGATGCCTGTTAGTTTTTACTGTTACAGATCTATTTGTCCTGTAAGAAACAAACAGCTACAGAGTCACATAACTACCAAAGAGAATATTTCCACATGCTTCTTACAAATTTTATGATCAGGTGCATCACAGGTTAGGGTGAGGTCAAGAGAATTCTAAGTAAAGACCTCCACCTGATGTGAGCAGTAGTTCATGACAGACAATAACCAGAGCAGCCTCAGGGATGCAGTTTCAGTTGCAGTCAGCATCTTCAACCATCCAGTTCTGAATCAATAGTTCTCTGTTGAGCTTTCTTCACCAGGGAGGATGTATTCTGGGACCAAGTCACATCAGATGTGATTGTGGCAGAGTGGTGGGTGCAAGAAAAAAAACTTTCTAAAGTGATGAGGGAAGTGGTATTCAAAGCTTGGCTTCATATCAGATGGATTGTGCTAATTCCTGTTTTATCACAGTCACTGTGGTTACAGCTGCTGATGAAACACTGTGGGAGGATTCACAGGAGCAGCTGATCAGTGATGCCTTCAGAAGAGAAACTGCAGAGGATTGGAGGGGAACAAGTTCATCAACATCAAAATATCTAGAGTTTATTTATGATTGAAACACTGAAAATTCTAACTAAAAACTAACGCATCATATACTCCAAAAAAAAAAAAAGCGTCTTTGCATTGTCACCTATTTGTTGCAATATTTCCATCATCCTTCTCCTCTTCATCTTCATCAGTGGTGAATCCAGCAACCATTTAACATCAGAGGAATCATTCAAGTGGCCTCATCTGATGATGTCTGTCGTTTCCAATCTTACATATTCTGCCACCATCCAAGATCCAACTACAATGAGGGAAGACCATACAATCTTGACATTAAGTCCAGCAGAGACATTGCAATTCCGTTTTGAGATTTAAGATTTTTTGGATTTTATTTTTGCAAACAGCATTTATCTGACTGACTGCTGTCAGTGATCATTTGAATGTCAGATGGATGCAGCCCTCCTTCACCTCATCCTGTTCCACCACCACCAGAGTCCATGCTCCATCTGATCTGA